GACAAAACCAAGCAGATTGGTTAGCTTGGGTTAGCATGATGATGAACCCATCCAATTGTGTGGTGCTATGCATGAGGGTTGTGGGTTCAGGTCTGAGGAGGAGTCACTGGGGGCTTGACAGCCAGGCACCCGGGTGCTGCAGCCCGGCAAGCTCTGGGGTGCTGCTGCCCAGCCTGAGGAACGCTCTCCTGTCTCCCAGGTCTGGCTTCCACCCAAGCGCAGAATGTCCCTGTGATCAACAACATGGGCAGCAGCCTCACCACCCTCCAGCCGGTCCAGTTCTCCCAGCAGCTGCACCCGTCCTATCAGCAACCAATCATGCAGCAGGTCCAGGGTCACCTCAACCAGAGCCCCTTCATGGCCACCATGGCCCAGATCCAGGCTCCTCACGGTAGGTTCGGAAGGGAGGATGGCCATCCTGGGAAGGCTCCATGCCAGGCACCTTTACTGCACCTTGGAGCTGATGGAAAGGGGGACCTCAAGGTCTCCATTGCTCACGGTGCCTCCCTTATTCCCAGCTCTCTATAGTCACAAGCCAGAGATGACCCAATATGCGCATACCAGCCTTCTACCCCAGACCATGGTGATCACAGACACGGCGAACCTCAGTACCTTGGCCGGCCTGATGCCAACCAAACAGGTGAGGGGGTACTGTGGGGGAGCACAGCTGAAGGGATCCTGAGGGGCCAACACCATGTGGTCCAAGCGGCAACGGAGAACAAGCTGAGCCAAATCACAGGGAGTCTGCTTCTGCAGCTTAGGCCCAAGAGCAGGGGCCTTCATACTTGGCCCTTTTATGACTCGTGGACTTCAACTCCCAGAATTCCTCAGCCAGGCACGTGTGCCTGGCTGAGGAATTCTGGGAGTTGAAGTCCACGAGTCATAAAAGGGCCAACTTTGAAGACCCTTGCCCAAGAGGCAGGTATCTCCGGGGGGAAAGTAATCCTACGGTTTCTTCTGCAAAACAAGAAACTAGTATGTAAACCGAGAGCAAACCCCTCTCTCTTTTACCACTGATAATGTTACCCAGTTGGGTAACAAAACGTCTGTGAGAAAACAAGCAACCTCAGAAAGCACCAAAGTTCTAACAGTTCAACCGTGAGCTGCAAATACGCCCTTTTATAAGAAACCAGCAGTTTGCAAAAACAATTAGATAACACTGCTAGCCAAACACAAGTGTGAGTTTTAACAACCTGAAATTAAATCGCTTGTTCCTGCAAAATTTTGCATCCCAAGTTTCAAATGACAGAATTTTGGGTCATTTCTGGAAGGTTTTCTTAGGGCACAGGTAGGCAACCTGCGGCTCCAGAGCCGCATGCGGCTCTTTGAGCCTTCCCCTGTGGCTCCCAGCCTCCTCTGCCATTTGCAGAGAGAGACAGAGACAGAGAGAGGCACTTGCGCTTCCCTTCTCTCTGTCTCTGTCTCTGTCTCTCTCTCTCTGTTTGTGTGTGTGTGTGTGTGTGTGTGTGTGTGTGTGTGTGTAAAAGAGAGTGGACTCATGGTATTCTCCGACAAGCTGAAAAGCTTTTTGGGCGGGGCTCCTCCCTTCGCTGCATCTCTGCAGGAAGCAGGAAGCAGGAAGGGCAGGAGAGAGCTAGCTAGTCCAGCTTTGCTGGCTCAGGAATTCTGGGAGTTGAAGTCCATGAGTCATAAAAAAGCCGAGGTTGCCTACCCCTGAGCTTGTTGGAGAACAGCTTGAAGCCAGCTTGCCAGGTGAGCAGAAGATCGGAGAGAGGGAGAGAGAAAGGGGAGAGAGAGGGGGGGGGGGGAAGAGGACTGGCAGACCAAGGGCAGAAAGAGAGGGAGGGAGAGAGAGAGGGAGGGAGGGAGAGAGAGAGAGAGACATCTTTTGACATCTAAAATGAAGATAACACTGCATATATCCTTTTTTACCTTTATGATATATACTCCCAGTGTTTTGTTTTCGGAGGGGAAACGGGTCCAAGTGGCTCTTTGAGTGTTTTGGGTTGCCTACCCCTGTCTTAGGGGATGAAGCAGAAATGGAAGCATTTTCCCTCCACGGAGACCTTGCTCTCCTTCCCACCCTTAAGGTTAAACATCCCCCCTCCCCCATATCAATTCTGCTTTATCTGGCAAGATGGCTTTGTTCCTGCAAGGTATCCTACAGTTCTTTGGTTGGCAAGGGGAGCAAGTTGCATTTTATTCATTTATTCAATGTATATGCTGCCCATCTGACTGTCAAGCCACTCTGCACTCTGCAGCTAACAAAAGGTGGCCCGCTCTTGCTTAAATGGCTTGTGTGAGCACAGGAAATGTGCCCAAGGCAGGTTTTCCTTGGCCATAAAAAGCTGAGATAGTGCTAGAACGGAAGACAAGAGAAAAACGGAGCCTCCTCCGTAATGCCACCCAGTTACTTCCTGTCTTTAAAAGGTTTCAGAGCTCGGCTCATTCCCAGATTTATGGCCAGCTTTTGTCCCTTTGATCTCCTCCTCCCAAGTTTTAAGATTAGAAGATCAAAGGCCAAGGGTGGCAAAATTGCCTTTTTTTTTTTTTTTTACTGATTTTATGGCATTGTGAAGTTTAATTTGCTTTTTAGATGGAATGCTATTTTAAGATCTGTGCACGCTTTGAAAAGGATTCAGAAGGCCTTTGCAAGTGGAAGCAAAGCTCCTCCTGATTATTCATTCAAGCAGCTCGTCTTTTTCAGGCTGCCTGTCAACTAGTTAATCTGAATGCAATTCTTTAAAGCAGGTGCTACTCTCCTCCTCCCCCCCCCCCACAGAAGCTGAGGGAGGGGGGAGGCAGAGACCCCAGCTGCTTTAAAGAAGAGGAAGGAGCTGAATGAAGAAGCAGGAAATGTTAAGCGGAGCTTGCCTGCAAAGTTTGGGACCAACAATTTCCTGGCCAGCCAAGGTGGGATTTCTAGAAGCAAATTGTAGGTGCTAAAAGCATCTTGCAAATTGCAGAGGCACCAAAGGCCATTAATGGGAGCTCTGACATCTTTTTGCCCTTTCAAGACATCCCAGGCTTCTCTTGCTGACCGCTCGGTCCTGGGGAGAGTCCAGGAAAGGGCAGCTTTCCTGGACTGCATGCCAAGCGATAAGTTTAGCTGAGGCAATGGAAGCAGCAGAAAAATGAATGGAAATGGACCGTTTCGTGCTGGTTCCTGATTTTAGCAAGCAACTCCTGAGCATAGGCAAATGTGCGTCTTGGACTTTAATGAATTTGAACCTGGTTCAAAATAGAACAATGATCAATAGGGCCCGTAGCAGGAGAGAGAAATGAGAAGAGGACTTCAGGATGGACAGCTGCTCCTAACGGAGGAGATTTTAAAAGTGCCTGTTACAAATAAATCAAGTGAAGGAAATAGGAAACAAGAACACAGCCGCACAAAAAGGCCGAGTGAAGATCTGAAGAGAAAAAAAGACACTTTCGGGAAATGGAGAGGCAGGCCATTCTCCTGGAAGGGCAGAGCCAGGAAGCCTCCAACTTTAAGAGAGAGGAAAGTGAATGCTCCAAATAAGATGAGCTTTAGTGAAGGACAAGAAGGACAAAAAAAGGCTTGTTTGGGTATGTTGAAAAGAAAGGAACTGAGTGAGAATAAATTTAACAGTTGCCCAAATGCTGGTAAATAATGAAAAGCTTTGGTTCAGACTTTCTCGACAAACAGCTGTGTGGAAATCTGAGGAGCAGGATGGGTTAAAAAGGGGCAGGAGGAAATATAAGCTACTACAGAAATATAAGCTACTACAGGGCACGAGTTGCAGACTCTAGGACCAGACACAACAGCAGAGGGGCTGTCACTCTGCAAGATTCAAAGCATTTCTTCTGAATGTTTGGGATCTATGTTAGTTTCTAAGCTAAGCTTGACTAAAACAATTTTGCTGTTTATCCGAAATGTCTGTCTTCTACTGTGCGGCGTCTCGCAAGTAGCTTGGGCAAGCTTTGTCACCGCCTTTGCGTTGTCCTGTGATTTCCCCCCCCCCCCCAGATCTTCACGTCAGACGCAGAGACTCCCACGGAATCTGGGATCCCAACCAGCCAGCCTTCCGTCCTCTTGCAGGGCCAGGATGGCTCCATCCAGTCGCACCTTCAGTCGGGGCCCCGCATGACCTCCAGCCCCACCGGTAAGTGGCAGCTTCTGCTAGGAGATCTTCCATTCCTTAGTACAGTGATGGCGAACCTTTTAGAGACCGAGTGCCCAAAACCCGCCCCCCGCCCTGCCTGCTCCGCCCCTGCCCCACCTGCCCGCAGGGCCACGCACAGCCTCCATGGCCCGCCGCAGATCGCCCAGGTAGCCCTGCAGTGCCATGGCAGCCACGCCCTCCGCCCACACTCCGCAGCATCATCTGCATGCTATGGGGCACAAGGGCAGAGTCTTGTCCCTGCTTCCCGGCTATGTTCTTGGCTGCGCTGCCTGGGGGGGCGACTCTCCTCCAGGGGGGCTGCTGGTGAGGAAGGGGCTGTGGGGGGAGGCGGGGCTGGGGCAACGGCGTGTGTGCCCACAGAGAGGGCTCCGAGTGCCGCCTCTGGCACGCGTGCCATAGGTTCGCCACCACTGCCTTAGTAGATCCCAGAACGTTTTATTCAAAGCCATTTGCACTTAGGACCATCGGGTTCGTTTAATGACCCCTGCAAAAAAGGTATAAAATTGGGCTGACCCATTTTATGACCATTGTGATGTATGGCCATAATGGACAGCTTCATTGTGGTCATAACCCGAGGACTACCTGTAGGCCTCCATAATGGAGTCAGCAGTTTCTATTGCATAGGTCAGTGGTTCTCAACCTGTGGGTTGGGACCCCGTTTGGGGTCGATCGACCATTTCACGGGGGTCACCAAGCAAGGCTGTCCACCATTTTTTTGTCCGCCTTTTTTTTTGTCCGTCCTTTTTTTCCCCTTTTCCGGCGGGTGCCTTACCTCCCTTGGGCTGGGCCAGCTGGTGGTCGGTCTGCTCCGTCTCTGCCGCTTGCCAGCTACGCCTCGGCCGGCACAGGGGTGGAACCACCCATGCGTGGCGCTCCCGGGCAGGGAAAGTCCTCGACTTACGACCGGTTTAGTCCTCGACTTACGACCGGTTGGGGTCGCGGCATTAAAAAGGTTGAGAACCACTGGCATAGGTGGTGAGAGGGTCCCCGAGTACCAAAATATTTTTAAAACTCTCTTTTTGATCGCTTCTCAATCGAACTCAACACCTTAAAGTGCAGTCACAGAGCACAAAGGCCCAGCAGCTGCCTTCAGAGAAATGCTACATTTGGTTATCTTTAGTCTTGGAAAAGAAATTGTGGCTAACCATGCAGAACCCCAGCCATCTGTGTGTGTATGTATACACACAGCCACTCCATCTTGACCAAGTGTGCAAATATATGCAGACAGCTGGAGGAGGTCTGCAGAGAGAAGGCATCCCCACCCCTGGGGCGTTAAGGCTTTGAGATGCTGGCAGCCCCCTCCCTTCCAAGTGCTCCCCACAGCACTAAAAGAAATGAAAATGGGCAGGCTTTGCCTTCAGCAGCCTGGGGTGAATGATGGCGATGGGGACCCTCCCTCGCTCCTGGGGGATCCGCTTAGCGATGGGGCCTCCTCTCAGAAGAGCCACCGTCACCTGCCAGGGTGGGAGCTTCAGCTTTTCTGATGCCACCAACAGTCAGCCATAAACTCTGCTAGGAATAAAACACGCTATCACATGTTTTTTTAAAAAAATAATCTTTGTGTTTTTTAATTAGCCAATTACTGTAAATGTGACTTGGATGCTTTGGGGGATAGGGAGTTATCGGCCCCTCTGGATTGCGAAGAAGCGAAAAGCTCCTTGTGCGATGAGTTCACCTGCTCTTTTTGCTCCCCCCAACTCCTTTCTTGCCCCCAAACAGTCTCCTCTGGCAGTTTGGTGCTTTACCAGAGCTCCGATTCCACCAACGGCCACTTGCTGCCCTCCACCCACGGCGTGATCGAGACCTTCATCTCCACCCAAATGGCTTCCTCCACACAATAACCCGGCTGGCCACTTGGACATTCAGCAGCCCTTGCCTGAAGCTCGGACGCCCTCTCCTGCAGCCGCCCCTGGGAGGGAAGGCCAGTCTGGGCTGCTTCCTCTGCCAGGATTTGTATGGCTGTTCCCCCCCCGCCCTCCCCCACGCTGTAATTTCAGAACTCCAAGCAAAAATGTGCACCAAGCAAGGAGGAGGCAGAGATGGAGCTTTTGCGCTGCTGAGAAAAGCTAGAGAAAGCAGACAGGAAGAGTCTGCAGGGGGCCACCTTCTTTGATCTGGGGCTGGCTGCTGAGGGACGAGTGATGGCGGAGTAGGAGAGCAGCGAGGCTCCTTCTGCTCTTCAGATGGGCTCCCAGAGCAAGTCTTGGAGGAAGGACAAAGCAGAGTTGGAGCAAGGAGTGAAAAAAGGGAGCGCTCATCCTCCGTAAAGGATGCAGAACAGGTGCACACCTGGGGGGGCACTGAGCCTTGGGGAACTCGCTCTCCAGCCAGACTCAAGATGGCTCTGGTTGCAGGGAGTTCCTTGGCCCACAGGCAACCCCTTAGGCTCGGCCTCAGGTGGAAACGGCAAGGAGAGCGGTCCCGTTGCCAAAGGTCTGAACCAGGCAGGCGATATTACATGCTTGCGCATTAGTGCAAGGTCCTAGGAATCTGCTCTGGCAGCAATCAAGCATGACAGCTGCACCCCACCTCTGAGCCCCCATAAACAGAATACTGTTTTCAAATTTAAATTAAAAGACAGAGGTAAGAGCCTAAGTAAAACATGGACCTTCAGTTTAAATGCAGAAGGTATTGGCATGGAAGACAGAGGTCCCCAACCTTTTGGGCACCAGGGACTGGTTCCATGGAGAGGTTTTTTCGCCGACCGGAGGGTGCGTGGTTTTGTGTGCTGCCTGCATTCCGTGGATGGGGCTTTGCTTGTTTGTGTGGACCGGTTGCTGGCATGCCGTGGCCCAGTACTGGTCCACGCACCGGGGGTTGGGGACCCCTGATGTAAGAGACTCGTCTCCCATTTTAGAGATGAGCGAACCAAGTGAACCAAGTAACTTGTCCTCATGATGTTAGTAAAAATAACAATAAATCCTCAAAGAGGATGAACTTCGTTTCTATAAATTGCTTAGAAACAAAGGGACTCTTGCTGCTGCCCCAAAGTCAAAGAATTTGAGACCACCTACATTCCATGAGCTTTTCTCCATCTGCACCTGACCTGCCTCAACCCTCCCTTCCTGGATTCAGAAGACCCCCCCCCCCCAGGTGCTAGGTTAGTTATGCAACACAGCCTCTGACTGGGCATAATTTGAACCAGTTGCAGAAACGGGCATTTCTTTTCACAGAGGGTTTATTTTTGAAGCACCAAATAGTAGCTGTGCATTTTCCCCTACTGGTCGCTCATCTTGGAAACAGACTTTGGAGACACCAGCCCAGTGGCCAGAGGCAGACCCGAAGGTTATGTGTGTCTGCCATCACCGGCAACAGCTAAGACACCCAAGTAGGCCACTTCTCAAAATGCACAATTCAAACTTCCTTCGTAGTGAATGTTAGGGGATCTGCTAGCTGACACTTGGCCTCACTGGAGATCAATGTCTCCACACAAAACAGGCAAAGCCAAGATCTTTCTGTTGCTAGGAGAACCACAAAGTGTTCACATGGAAGAAGCTAGAGGAAAAAAACCCAGGAAAATTACTGGTCAAGTCAGAGTGAAAAGGAAAATCAGAAATTAACTAGGCTTAAGTCTAATCCAGGAGTAGTCAACCTTGGCTCTTTTATGACTCGTGGACTTCAACTCCCAGAATTCCTGAGCCAGCACAGCTGGCTCAGGAATTCTGGGAACTGAAGTCCACGAGTCATAAAAGAACCAAGGTTGACTACCCCTGGTCTAGTCTATGCATCTTCACTGCACTTATTTGAGACCCAAATACTATTTACTGAGTTTTTGAATCTTGTAAATAAGTAGCCAAACTTATCCATTTGGATATTTTAAGCTCCAGGTGCTGCTCTTAGGCCCCAGAGCACTCTGGAGATTTGACTTGCAGAATCAAGACCCTCTTCAGCTCTGTTTTGTAAATATATTTAACTTTTGGTCAATCAAACAGGCGAGACGCTGTATCTGAAATATTGTCATGTATATTGGCTAGTCACAAAATAACCACCTCATAGAAACTGGAACCATATCTGTTAAAAGAGACTCGTGTTATTCTTCAGATGGACGAGGTGAGGAAACAGAGAAGATGCTGTGGCTGCTCTCCAGGTGACCCACAAAGGTTGTCAACACTGCCCCCCAGGTCCTGCAGCTCCAAGAGATGCTGGGGCTTGCCTCAGAAAGCGGCCACCAGGGGTGTCCACTTTGATGGGATGCAAGGAACCAGCTGCCCAGAGAACAGTAGTTGGAGCAGCTGTTTTCCATCACTGAGAGAGTCCCTTCATTTTCCCAGGGTGCACAGCCAAACCAGGCCCAACTCAGGAGCCCCCTCCTCTCTGTAAGTAACTCCCCCTGGCACATAAGTATTAGAATGGGGGTGTCAAACTGCCGGCCCGCAGGCTACATGCGTCATGGCAAAACCGCGCCCACCCCATTGCCGGCAATGGAAAAAAAGTCGCGACACGTCACGCGACGTTGCAAGTTTGACACCCCTGCATTAGAGGGATGGTCGTTCTGTTCCTGCTCCTGTTTTCCTCCTTTTCCTCTTTCTCGTCCTCTGCACCGTCTCTGTCCAACTGACAGCCTCTGGACTGCTGGGACACGAGGGGTCCTTGTTCTGGCTATTATTTGCTGCTTCGATGACGTCTGGCTGGCCACACGCCTCTCTTTTCCCCTTCTTCTTCTTCTTCTTCTTCTTGACTTTTTTCCATCCAGCCTCTCTTGGGTGGCCAGAGTCCTGGGCCACTGGCGGTGGCAGGCCACTTTGCTTCAGAATGTCTGCTGCTGTCACCGCAGCTTCTTGGCATCTCTGCCACTCTGTGTCACTTTCCAGGCCACTGGAAGAATCACAAGCAATGCTGGAGAAAAAAAACAACAGAATTACGTTTTCTCCTATGCTCGGCTAACCTATATATATATTTATTACTGGCTTACAATTCTTAGACTGAAAAGGTGCGCTATTAGGAGAGATCCAGATATACACGGGGAGGGGGTATATTAATTAAACCATATTAACAGCTGGAAGACCAGCTATTTCGTTCCTTTATGAGTGAGTCCTGTTGACATCTTTAATCAAGTTATTCAACCAATATTCTCTGTACAACACCCAACCTCATGAGCTGAGTTTGCACAATGTGCTTGGCTAAAATGTGCTCGTTATCCTGGGTGGACACAATCCTACCATGCTGTGCTAAGCAAAGGTAACATCAGACTGGCATCAGTTAAAATCTACTGCCTTGGTTCACATCACCCTCTAAGCCAGGGGTCCCTTGCTGGCTGGGGAATTCTGGGAGTTGAAGTCCACAAGTCTTAAAGTGGCCAAGGATGGGGACCCCTGCTCTAAGCCATGGCTTCAAAATGACCAAGGCTACCTCCATTCGGTTCAAGATTATTGCTTGACACAGTATACGAATCAGTTTGGTTTAGTGGTTAAGGCACCAGGCTAGAAGCCAGGAGACACTGAGTTCTAGTTCTGGGCGACTTTGGGCCAATCATCAGGAGACAGTGAGTTTTAATCCCTCCTTAGGCACGGAGGGCGCCTGGAGGACTTTGGGCCGATCACCCAGAAGACGACGGCTTCTAGTCCTGCATGACAGCCACCTGGGTACCTTTGGGCCGGTCATTCTCTCTCAGCCCAACGCACCTCACAGAGTGGTGGCTGTGTGGAAACTAGGAGGAAGAAGGAGTATCAGTATATTTGCCACCTTGAGTTGCATGAGATATACATAAATAAAATAAAATAAAATGAACCCAGGAGGGCAAGGAACTCTTCAGCTAGCAGGCTGCCTGAGCCAGCCTCAGAAACCGACTGAGGCCCATTTGCAAGCCAGAAGGCTTTGGCACATTGCAGCAGCCGAGGTCGTTGTCTGTTGCCCCCTTTCATGCCAGAGACTCTTCCCCCCTCCCTCCCATTCCCATTCCTCACCTGGAGCTGGAATGCTGCAACGCCGACCGTTTCCGGGGAGCAGATTCTGGCTCCCCAGAGTCTCCCGGAACGGAGGAGGAGAAGAGGCGAAAGCCTGCGCCATTTCAGGAGGAAAAAGAGGGAAGGTGCTGTGTGAGTAGCTGCTCAGTCTAGGCTGAGTTAAAAGCTGCTGCCTAAAGGAGGGAGAGGCTCATGGGAGCTGAGCCTCCTACAGCCCACACCGCAAGCATCAATCTCTAAAGAAGGACCCTTTGGAAGGGGAGAACCCCTCAGCCCCCCGTCAATCCTGTCTGGCTCAAGCATCCACCTAGAGCAGGAGTTTCCAACCTTGGCAATTTTAAGACCCGGGGACTTCAACTCCCAGAATTCCCCAGCCAGCATTGCTTCCCTGCTCTAGAGTTCCTGACACAGCAGGCTGAATGAACAGGACCAATGTACTCCAAGGGGTTTCCCCTAGGCAAGCGGCTCACCATTGTCTTCTTCCAGGGAGGCTCCGGTCTCATGTCGCGGGAGTCGCAAGGGGCACATTGAGAGGGTTATCGCCCTGAAAGGAAAAGCAGGATCAGCGCAACGGAGGAAGAGAGGAAGCCACGGCTGCCATTGAGCTGGTGCCAAAAAGAGACCAGCAGTGACTTTCCTTGCTGCTCCTCCTGCCTGGAAAAAAAAACAAACAGGCTGAATCTGCAACCAAGCGCTTGCTGACCATTAATACTCCGAGCCGGTCCAGGTTCCCAGAAGAGGAAAGGCCCAAAACCTGAGAGAGAGAGACAGAGAGAGAGACAGAGAGAGAGAAAGAGAAAAATAATAATAATAATAATAATAATAATAATAATAATAATAATAATAATAATAATAATAATAATAATAATAATAATAATAATAATAATAATAAAGTTGGAAGGGACCTTGGAGGTCATCAAGTCCAACCACCTGCTCAG